ATTGCTTTGCTTGGAAACCGTTGCTTTCCCTGCCTTCTTCTACTCTCTTGCTTTGCTTCTTAGATTAGGAGCAGCACTTCCTACTGTAAGAGACTTCATGGCTGCAGGAGGCCTGCATTGAAAGATGAAACTGTAAGCAGTGTGCGTTAGGCTCTAGCTTGCTTACAATCCAGAGTAAGCATACAATGAAATCAAAGAAGAATTGCAGAGCCTTCAGCCATGTATAGTGGCCCATAAGGAGCAAAAAATTAATGCATGTTGAAGTTGAGTTACTAATCCTGTTTGTTGTAATATAGGCCATTCATTCATACCAGTTTCAGAAAGCTGATTTTCTTAGTTGGAGAGGACTGTTTGCTGTTTACTGTTCCTGTTTTTGCTGACTATTTTTGGAATAGGGTGATGCTAAATTGATAGCATTTACATATTCGTCTTCACCCGACAAATCTAAAACCACCATCCTTTTCCTGTTGGCTTCACCATTAGAATCTCCCTATTAAATTTAAGATCATTAGATGGTGCTCAGCTGGACTTCAACTTTGCCGAAGCACAATCACATAAATTTGCTAATGAACCTGCACTTCCAAAACAGCTAAATAATTAGTTAAGGAATGTCCATGAATGTCACTAAAATTCTGATAGCTGCCAATAAAAGCATTTCATAACAACATTCTTGGAGAGAAAAGTTGTTCACCTCTGTGCAACATTTCATGACATTAAAAATTTGCAACTCCAAACCTGAAAATGATACTAATTATTATTGGAAACTTTATCTAGTACGAAACTTTTAGCTTACGAACCTGAAAATCATTTTATATTACTATTGTAGATGAATAATATTAATTTTAAAAGGTCAAAGTATAGACAAGGATAGAAAATGGAGACAGCAAAAAAGACACTTTCCACTTGGAGTTCATTAGGGACAGAGCATGGGTCTCATCTTGCAAAATGCCAACTGATTGTGCTGAAATTTGAAATTCGAAAGGGCTCAATTTCGGCCATGCATTCCCAGAAATCAATTTATCTATAATGAAAAAAAGTATAAAGCACTAATGAAAATTAAATAAAATTCTTTGTCAAAAACTTACTACTTGGGGCTTATGAGAGCTGAGTTCTTTTCTGCTACAGTGATTCCTAGACAGCAACTCCCTTTGTTGTTCACTTCAATCTACAAAAATTGTTTCTTGTTCAGCAACTAAAATTTAGCACTCCAGAATGCACAGCTCATAATGCTTTGCAATGCATCCTTGAACACTCTACGCCTGAATTGAGCTATTGCCATCAAATTCTTGGTTAGCTTCTGCAAGAAATTCAGAGAAGAGATTATCACATTACTGCTTTGCTATAGAATTCAAAAAATTCCATTTATGGTAGCAAAAGAAATCATCAACAATCATGAGTTTGTGTCTCAATTCCTATGGCTTGTGAATGTGAACTTTAACTAAATTCTTGGAGAGGAAAGATGTTCACCTCTTTGCAACATTTCGTGACACGAAAAGGTTGAGACTCAGCTACTTATACGAAACCCAAAAATGTTACTAATTACTATCAGACACTTTATCTTGTATGAACCTTTTAGCTTAAGAATCTGAAAAGCAAATTATATTACTATTGTAGGTGAATAATATTAATTTTGAAGTGTCAAAGTAGAGACAGGGCTAGAGAATGAAGACAGCAAAATTGACACTTACTACTTGGAGTTCATTAGAGACTAGAGCCTGGATCTTTTCCTGTCAATTGCCTACCGATTGTGTTGAAATATGCATTTCAAAAGGGCTCAATTTCAGCCATACATACCCAAAAATCAATTTATCTATAATGAAAAAAAGTATAAAGCCCTAATGAAAATTAAATAAAATGCTTAGTCAGAATACTTACTAAGGATTTATGAGAGCTGAGTACTTTTCTATTATGGATTCCTAGACAGGAACTTCCTTTGCTGTTCACTTCAATCTACAGAAATTGTTTCCATTTCAGTAACTAAAACAATCAAGGATTGCAAATGATAGAAACGTAAATGAAATGAGAAAAAAAAAAAAAAAACCTGCAAGAGTGGAAAAAGGCAGTGGAGTTTTGTCGAAGTGTTCTCCAGTGGTCAAGTCAGCAAGGATTGCAAATGATAGAAAAGTAAATGAAAATGAGAAAAAAAAAAAAAACCTGCAAGAGTGGAAAAAGGCAGTGGAGTTTTGTCGAAGTGTTCTCCAGTGGTCAAGTCAGCAAAGCAAATATGAAAGGTACATATTACAAAAATTTAAGATTTCAAATTGATAACAAATTGAACATATGGAGCAATGAAGCGCCATGGAAACAAGAGTAGAAATCCCATAACATAACATGCCTAACAACTAACAACACAAACAAATTACCAAAAGAAACAAAACCAAGTTCATCCAATACAATATAAAAAAAGACATAAATTGGTAAAAAAAGAAAAAAAATCTAACATTATTGTCAATGAAATCAAAGATTACTGGCAGTGGGTGAATCCAGTCCCGTTTTCTTTTGCTTTGCTGTTCCGACGAGAGAAGTTGCCTTTGCTTGAGAAAAGATCCTACAAACATATAGCAGAGCTTTAAAAGGTGTTGAGAAATCCGGAGCCAAGAAGAGATATTTAAGAAAGTGATCTTATAGGCATTGATTCCATACTACCAACCTGGTTTGCAAGATGTTGAGAAATGTCAATATACCAAAAAAATCAAATGAAAAAAGAAATATCAACGTTCCAACCGCAAACATTAGCCAATCTCATCACCCACGATTTTGTTACTACCCAAACCCAAAATCCAATTTCAGCAAGCCATACAAACCCAAACCCAAAATCTAATTTCTATATAAATGGAATGAAAGTATAAAACCAAAAAATAATAATGATCAAAGTCAAAATATGGATACTTACATAGTTGGAGTTTATGAGATAGCACGGTAGAGCAGAGGGTGAAGGGTGGATGCGTCTAAATCTCATTCTCATCTCTTCCACAATACATAGGCTTTCCCATGTCAGAAGCACTTTATGCATTGTTCCCGTTGTGGAGTACTGGAAGAAAGGGTTTTATTGGCACATGTTATTGGGCTCACACGCGGCTTTTTTATAGGAATCTGAAAAATTAAAGATTTGTTAATAACTCCGCTTTCAGATGAGATGACAGAAATTTTAAGCAAATAAACAAATCAAATTCAAATTAAAATAAATCAATCAACCCCTTACTCCCATTCATCAATTGGAGTAAATTTTAAGAAAGGTTGGAGTATGTTCTTAGCGTTAGAATGATCCAACTCAACCACTGATTCCCACCATTCTTTTGACTCATCATCTATCCCCATTTTTTCGAGACAAGGAGGAGGAGATGGCTGGCCATTGTCAAGCAGAGGAAGTTGTAAAGGGATCCTCTTTAACTCCGGACATTTAATTATTTGAATTTCTTCAATAGAATCACAAATCATAACTCCTTTGCCACTGCAGATGCTCTTCAATTGGTCTAATTGCACCAAGATCAATGTCCTTAACTTAGGAAAAGTAAAAGTGAATTTATTTGATGATGATGCATCTGAATCTGATGATGCTATTATCTCCTCCATTTGTATGCATCCCCTAACTTGAATGCACTCTAAGTTTTGGAGGACCTGTAGCAACTCAAGTGTAACCAACTTCCTCATTGCTGAACAAAATCTTATTATAAGAGATTTAAGATTGGAAAAGATGTGCGGTGGTGTTGCTACTCCTTCCACTCTCACAAGTACACTCACGTTAGGCAAGTCCTGAAGAATCAACCATTCAAGCTTATCCAATATTGGAAAACACAACGAGGAGGAGGATGAGTCCAACTCTACTATGCACTCTATCCCTTCACAATTCCGAATATAACAACACCTCAACTCGGTTGCATTTTCTAACAAAACTGTCTTGTTTAAGCTACATCTCATGTTTTTCATGTTTTTAGAGCAAGCGATCGACAAATGCTCAAGAGTATCTGGAAGCACCACACATTCTTCTCCAATCTCCCATCCAGCAATTAAGACCCTACGTTGATATTCATTAGAAAATCCACAACCTCTGATTTCTTGTTCACCTGTTGTCAGTCGAAATTCATAAGCCGTAAGACTGTCAAAATCTTTAGACTTATTAACAAGATAGTTGAAGTCTTGGACCTCCATTCCACATTCCAAACTCTCCAAATTGCTCAATCTAGCTACCTCTTCTATATTTATCCTTTTAGTAATTGCCCTCCTTGGATATATAGCCAAGTACTGGAGACTGGAAAAGCTAGGTAATATTTCCGTTGGAATCTTTTTCAGATTTTCACAATTTAAATCAAGATATTCAAGACTTACCAACATCTCCATGCCTATAGGGACCACCTCTATCCCTGCCCCATATAGATCCAACTTCTTCAATGCCCTGAGCGTTGCTAAGGAAGGCAAGTATTTTAACTTCTTGCACTTCCTCAACCGTAGTGCATAGAGATTCACCAAGTTGGAGATGGAATCAGGTAAAGCTTCAATACTAGTACTAGAAAGATCAAGAACATTAAGTCCTACCATATCTTCAAAAAAGGAACTTGAAATCTCTGACAAATTATTATCTGACAATATCAAAGTTGACAGTGATGGGCACTGTGGGGACAAACCAGCAGGGATCTTTGAAATGCCATTTGCCATTAGAGATACCTTCTTGAGATCTTTTACCCACTCACACTCATTCGGTACCTTTTTCAGATTCATACCAGCTTTTACCTTATATCCAAATCCAGGACCAATGCTTTTGATAGCCATGTCTCTCACAATATCATGTATCTTAAAAACATAACCAAAAAGATAACCACGCGAATCAACCATTTTCTCTAACAAGCAGTTCTTTTCCAGCCTATTTAAAAAAGCATGACCCCTATCATAAGCTTCTTGTCTTCTTCCCGACTCATCAATCAATCCTTCGTCAATCCAACTTTCTATCAACTCCTTTTTAGAAAACTCATAATCTGCTCGGAACAAGGAGCAACAAAGAAAACATTTTTGGATTTCCAAACTTCCTAGACGGTCATAACTAAATTTTAACCGCCTAAATATCATATCCTCCTTAACTTTCACACTTTTTACACACTGGCGTAATTCATTTAGTGCATTTCTCCACTCTATAATGTCTTTTTCTCCCCTCATGCACCCTGCTACTACAACAATTGCCAACGGTAAACCGGCGCACTCCTCCACAATAAGCTTCAACATTTCTTCCAATCCTGCAACTTGTAAAACATCATGTCCAACCCTATTGAGGAATAGATTTAAAGACTCCCTTGGTGAAAGAGGCTGCACTTTAACAATCTCACAACCCAAAAAATTGCATACATCAGTCGATCTACTAGTGATAACTACTTTGCACCCATTCTGGAGTGTTGGTTTTGGGATTCCAACATCAATCAAAGAAAAATTTTCCCATACATCATCTAATATTAGCACAAATCTCACTCTTCCCATTATCTCCATTAGTGCTGCTGCCCGCCTCATTTCTTCTTCATCTTCTCGAAGTGTTTTGCCCATAGCAAGTGCAGTCTTCTTTTGTAGTTCAAAAACATTGAGAGGGTATGATACAGTAACCCAAATCACTTTCTGGAATATGCTTCCCGTCAACAAATCATTGTTAACATGTTTCATGATTGTAGTCTTACCAACTCCACCAATACCGCAAACCCCAATCATTCCAACTTTATTGCCCATCAAGTGCTCCCAAATTTCATCTTTGGTAGAAATTTCACCCTCTAAATTTTCTGTTGGAATTACCATTCCACAAGCTGGAGCTCTTTTAATCCCAAGGCCTCCTTCGAAAATGCCCCTCTCTTGAATCCTCTTCACCACTTCAATTTTTTCACACACAAGTTTATCAAGACTGGCACGTTTGTAGTATGGAACTGTGCCTACTCTTTCTTCAACATCTTGTATGTCTTGTTCGATCTTTTGAACATCTTCAAGCCACCCCTTTACTTCTTCTTTCACCACCTGGCCCGAGTGAACCTCTACCTCTACTTGTATTCTTGAATTAACGTCAATTTTTCTCCTCTTTAGAACCTGCCATTCGCTTCTCAACTCATTCAGATCTTCTTCAAGTTGTCCGTGGTGGTCTACAAAATTCTCGACTTTCTCAACAATTTTGTCTGTCATTTTGTCCATCATTTTGTCCATCGATGAATTTCCTAAAATGTAATAGAAATGCGGTTAAATTTATTTCTTATACGGAATAAAAAAAAATGTAACAAACAATGATAACTTATGCATTAACTTTAATATAAATAAAAAATTACAAACGAACAGTCCGCTCCGATGGTGGACATGGATCGTGGTTAGGATCGTTCACCTATTATGGGTGATGAATTTGAATTTTATGGATTTTTTTTTCCCTTTAATTAATTATGTAAATAATTTTAATTTATTAAAAAAATAAAAAATAAAAAATAAAAAATTACAAACATATTATACAGTGTTTTAAAGAGATGTCATTTATAATAACACAACAAACATTTTTATATTTTTATAAAAAAACATTAAGGTTTTATTTAGAATAGTTGTGATTGTTTGTTTTTATTTTTTATTTTTATATTTGGTAAGTTATTATATTTAGAAATCAAATTTTTTTATAAAAATTAAAATTTATTTAATTTAATCGAAATATAGTTATAATTA